TGATGGATAGAGACTCATGGTCACTGTGCCTTCGCCATTGCTTTCCACTTCTCGTTTCCCCTCACTGCGAAGAAGAAGAAGAGGCAACAAGTTAGGTCCAACCACTGTGAACTCCACCAATTCGATTATAGTAAAATGCGTCCGATGTGTTTTCAGATTTTCTCAGGAACCACTGCGTTTTTCGTCTCTCACAACATTCTAGGACGAAGCTGGGCGCAGTTCGGCTTGGTGGGGGTACCCAATGGCTCCCATCTAAGCTTAGTAAGGCCGCTTTGTGAAGAAGTGTGAGTTCCTCTTAAAAATGCGAATCACTTGGCAATTTCGCAGTTTCACAAGAATTTACCGGCTTTAGCAAAGTGAGACCTGTCAGTTAACAGGAAGTAACGAAAGGAGCTATCGAAAGTGCAATATGCCCCTCCAAGTCGCATCTATCATCTAGAATTTAATTACGTCATGCTACGACGTGGAAGCTCGCTTTGAACGCTTTCGTGCCATTTTTTATCCCTTTTCTAAGAGCTTGCGAATATTAACAAGATAAGTCTCGAACGAGTCACAAAACTGGAATCGTTCACCTGCGTAAATCAAGCCTTAGCGCCACTGAAAAACGACAGATTCTAAGAAAATTCTCTAGGTATTTTCAAAAGTAAACAGCTCGAACCTTTCCTTTGATTGTTTCGTAGCACCGATCATCGAACACAAGAGTCGCGCTGCACTGGTTCGCTCGATTTCACGGGTTTCCCAGGTTTCTCTAAAGATTAAGAGTCAATCCGTCGTTTAGGTTGTCTTCGGAAACTAATCCCTTTCTAAATGGTCTCACGGCCTTGGAGGAGTCGAGGCCGCCAAAGTACTTCCCAATTATTACTTACTGTAGCACGTCCTATGATAGTAGTCAATAGCGTCAAGAACCGAGAAAAAGGTCGTCTCTCGAGTTGTCTTGTCCTCCGAGTTCAAGAAGCATGTAGACCGGGCGTTATGGTACATGAAGGATCTAAAAGATCTCGGAGATACAACAATACTTTACGTCATGCCGTAAATTCAAATGAAATCAAGCCCAAGAGTTACCGTGGAGTGACCCTCATGTTCCTCAATGGGTCCATTCAGTCAGTGGCACACTCCGCCTAAACTGTATGGGCAAAAAAAGGACAACTATTACACCTTTCACATTGGAGTGCTCTTTGATCGTCCTGCAAGCAGAGCCCACCAACGAGAATAACCCAGCGGCTATCTGGCTCAGCCCATGAGACTAGTGCGAAATGCGCCTCGGTCTCGCAAAGACCCATTGCAGCCCAGAACAGTTAGCTGAGGCATATTTTTCACCGTTTCTCCAGTACCAGTTCAATACTTGACCATCAAACCACTCCAAGCTAATATATTCATGCAATGAGCGTCGGTAATTACTGAAAAGTTGACTATTCAGACATGCGCGCAACCGCCTCTTAGAGTTGCCCACCGCATGCGACTGAAAAGGTTGCGGGTGAGCAAATACACCTTATACTTTTGACTACACCATATCGGAGGCTGCAAGAAAGGGGAGGGGGTGGAGCATATCGGCACTGAGACCACCTCACACCCCTTCTGCCCATTTGTGCTTTCTCAAGGGGATGGTGCTCGCGCTAGCAGCAGCCACGCTCCCCTCCTCTCACTCACCTTGACCTCAGAAAATGCAGACAACCAGAAAAGGAAGGCTGCACTCTATTTGCGGCAGCGTTCACCTGCCAAAACCAGCGTTTCGAGTGTCCGTCAACGACTAGGAAAGTACAGACATCGATCTAGCGAGCGGCACCCACAAGCGTTTATAAACGTCCGCCAGTGTCGGGATGTGACGGACAGAGAAACTCGACTATTGGTTTTGCGTCTACCAGCGTCCACAAGAGTCCACCAGCGACCATCAGCGTCTCGAAAGACCAGAAAAATATGGTATTGACATAGACTCTACCTGCTTCTACCAGCGTCCACCAGCGACTAGGAGTGTGGTATTGTGTAGTAGTACGGTGCGGTTGCACACGCCGCAATTTCGATGCCTAATCCAGCTGTCTGCTCCCTCCTGCTTCCAATACTCTACCAACGGTGTGCTGCCCTCATATTTCCCCCATATTCCCTACACCTGGTAGCTGGTGGAACTGAAGTCATACCTTCCCAGTCTCTTGAGACGCTGGTGGTCGGGCGAGTGGAGGGCGGTTGGTGGACGCTGGTAGACGCCAGATCGACATTCTTCTATCCTAGTCCCTCGAGGCACTATGGACGCTGTTCGAGGCTGGTGGTGGAGCTAGAATGGCCCGATCTCGTCCTCTTCCCTCACTACTACGTTTGTTCATTCATCCTTAGTGGTATACCAGCAGTTTCTCAGAAATCCCTGCACTCACCTGCATTCCTGCTTCTGCGCTTCCAGACAGGCATGCTGGCACTGTTGCAGACTAACGTCATCAAGTGTGACGACCGTAGCGCCAATCAGTGTGTGATTACGGACTCGTTCAAAACATTCAAGCTTCAGTGCCCATGTGACGGCGGGAAGAAGAAGAAGCGCAAGAACGGTGTGCATTTCTGAATTCAAAATTTGAACATGGCTGTGAAGATCATATCGAATTAGAGCTCTTCAATTCAGACGTCAGAGCCATGAAGAAGAGCGAAACAGTCTAATTCACGTTGCTGGAGGGAAACAATTATCCCCCCGGCTATATACAACACAATTTATTCCGCTACTCATCTGATATATACAGAGAAACGGGCCATGCTCTGAAACCATTCGGGTGTAGTCGCGATGTTCTTCCAGTTCCAGCAAACATCTTGAGATCGTCTTCCCATCGCATTCGTGGCCTTCCGACTGCTCAGGGCTTCCAATTCAACAATCGAACTTCCCATCGTGTTATCCCTGGTCATCAATTTATTCGCATATATCCATTTGCGTTTTCTGGCTTCAGCAACGACGTCTTTCAGCTGTGTCCTTAGTCTTATAGCTGTATTCGATACCTTGTCGCTGAGTCCGAGCATCTGTCGCTCCATTCTTCGCTGAGTCCATTCTTCGCTGAGTTTTCCGCAGACGTTCTTCATGCGCCTTCGTTAATGCCCATGTCTCGCATCCGTACAGTAGTGCAGGCATCACGCAGATATGGAAGAAACGTCGTTTGATCTGCATCGGCGTCATCTTGCTTCTTAGTAGAGTTCTGACTCTTCTGTGGATGTTCCAAGCCGAGCTGATCCTAGAGCTGATTTCCTGACCGCGTTCCTGAGGAAAACAGATGACTTGGCCCAGGTAGACGAATGATGTTACTTGTGCAATCTCCAGCTCGTTTACTCTGAGTTGATGACCGTTGGAGCTGGTTGACATCCATTTGGTCTTATTTGCGTTCACTTCTAGTCCAGCCTCTTTGGTCGCTCTAGTGAGTTTATTGAGCATTATTTGTAATCCATCAATAGTTGGAGAGCACAGAAAAAGATCATCAGCATATGCGAGGTAATTGAGACGATGTTGACCAATGGGGTACCCTTGATCCTCCCAGTCAATGTCGTCAAGGCAGGAATGGAGTGTCAACAGCAATGGAGATAATGAATCAACTCCTCGTTGTATGTCGATCATCTTCTCTGTAGCAGTGAGAACCAGAAATGATCGGCCAGCAGCATAGAGCTGCTTTATCATCCGAATCGTGCAGTCGTCTACTCCATATTTAGCTAATGCTCTCCAGATAGCATTGAATTCGATAGTGTCGAAGGCTTTTTGATAATCAACGAACACCATATGTAGTGGTTTCTTCCATTCACGGCATTTTTCCATCAACAGATTGACGGACATAAT